AAGGTCTCGCCAAGTTGCCCAGGCTGGTCTCGAATCCACAGGCTCAGGCAATCCACTTGCCTCGGCCTCCCAGAGGGCTGGGATGACAAGCATGAGCCACTGCACTGGGTTTAACTTTTTTTTTTAATTGAAGCAAATGTTTAAAGATATATGCACAAAATTATTCACACAACATTGTTTCTAATAGGAAGAAAATGACAGAAAAATGATAAATAACGTTCACATTCATCTGTAAGGGCTCAGGTATATAAATGATGGCAGAGTTGTACACCGGACCCCCGTTACCATTAAAATCATATGAGATGGCCGGGCTCGGTGGCTCAGCCTGTCATCCCAGCACTTTGGGAGGCCGAGGCGAGTGGATTGCCTGAGCTCACGGGTTCCAGACCAGCCCAGGCAACTTGGCGAGACCTCTCTACAATAAATCAAAAAATAAAAATAAAATTAGCTGGGTGTGGCAGCACACGCCTGTAGTTCTGGCTACTTGGAAGGCTGAGGTGGAAGGATCGCCGCCGGAGCCCAGCAGGTTGACACCAGGGTGACCATGAGCGTGCCACTGCACTCCAGCCTGGGAGACGGAGTGAGACTCCAATTAAAAAAAAAATCATACGAGACCACATGTGCTGCGTGATAAGAGGCCCACGACAGTGTTCACAGATGACAACCAAAGCAAACACAGATGACAACCAAAGTACGTTAAGTAAAATTCCTGATACACACACACACACACACACACACACACACACACACACACACACGTATGTCCACACACAGCTCGAGCACATCAAGACTAGAAAGAATCCGGCAAACAGATAATGGGGGACCCCAAGGCTGGGATAGCAGGGGATTTTCACTCTCTATACAATTAAGAGCTACTGGACTTTTTTTTTTTTAAACAACGAGCAGTGTTAGTTTCATCAGCAGAAACGATAAAAAATATTCCCATTCGGACAATAAAATAACTATTCTAGATAGATGCAAAGTACTACTGGCCCTCAGAGAAAAATGATCAGGACAAGAATCACTTTGCCATAAAAACACACCAGAAAATAAACACATAACAAGTTTGGGAAGGAGCAAACACCGGCAACATGTCCCAAGAGTCTCACGTCGAGAGCCCTCCTTCCTCCACACATGGCAAATTCTCCCCACTCTCCACCTCAATCGCGAGCCCTCCCAGGTCAATCTTCTCTGCAAATATTTATAACGATGAGGCAGAGGCGGAACTGAAGTTTATTACGCATTTATTATGTGCCAGGCACTTCACACAGAACCCTTCTTTTCATCCTTGCAACATCACTCTGAGGTAAAGATTATCACTAGCCCATTTGGTCCATGAAGAAACAGAGGCCCAGCTTAAGGATTCAAGCCCCGGCAGTTTGGCCCTAAAGCCTGGGACCGGGGCCAGCACCCTAGCCACCCTCCTGAGGCAAAGTCCTGCTGGGGCTCTGGGTATCCTCTCAGGCCCTGGAAGATGGCCCCGAGTCTGCCATGTCCATCCGCCTCCACCTCCTCTCTGCCATGCTGGCCGGAGCATGGCCAGGGGCTGGCCTACCTCTGCGACATCCAAACCCAAATATCATGTCAGTGCTCCTCTCTCTGAGCTCACAGGGGAGAAGGGAGAAGACAGGCCCTCACGTTCTTGGACCACGTGCGCCTTGAGCGAGTGCACCGGGAGAGAAGGCAGGGCTGCTGGCTCCCTCCACTGCAGCATTCTCAGGGAGCCCTCCTCAAAGGCGACTTTCCCGCACTGGGCATGCCGCAGGCATGATGGATGGCCACCGCCCAGCCTCTCGCTGGGCCCTCACTGGCACTGGCCCAGCCTGGGCCCCCAAGAACAGCAGGAGAGCTAACGGGGCAGCCCTGGGTGTTCATGATGGTTGATGGACGTCCACTTGGTAAGACCCAGACCCAAAATGCCTTACTGGACCTGCAAGGACACCACTCCTGCTTGCTCAGTGGAACATGTACCCGCCCAGAGTGTAAGCTGGTACAGCCACTTTGGAAAACTCTTTGATGGATCTGCTAAGGCTGAGCTGTGTATACCCTATGAGCCAGGGACTCCATGCCGGGCATTTGCCCGATGGAGATTAGTGCTGTGTTCACCAAAAGGCACACACACAAATGTCAGCAGCCGCTTCATCTATCACAGCCCCAAATTCCCAACTGCTCAAAGGTCTGTCAACTGAAGAATGAACAAACTAGGGTACGTCCAGTGGACAAAGGAGACACACACTGGACGATGTCATTCATGCAGGCAGTGGAATCTGTGGTGACAGACATCAGACTCATGGCTACTTCGGGATGGGGATTGACTGGAGGGGGCCTGAGGGGTTCTCTGGGGCCTGGAATGTTCCTTGTCTTGATCTGGGTGGTGGCTCCATGAGTCTGTACATATGTAAATGTTCATCATACTGTATGAAGGGGACCCCAAAAAACCCGGAATTTATTTATTAAAAATTATGTATTTATTCTTACATGTTTAAACTTCAGTCACCTTTAAAGTGCCCTCCGTTTGATGCAATAGACATATAGAGATGCTTTTTCCACGGCTCAAAACAGTTCTTAAACTTGTCAATGTTGATGTCTTAGTGCTTTTGCCGGTTTTTGGTCTTACCCCTTCCACGTGGGCAAAAGGTTTCCCTTTGAGGACTTTCCTCATCCAGGGAAACAAGAAAAAAAGTCACTCTGGGTGAGATCGGATGAATAGGGAGGGTGGGGCATAGGGGTCGTGCTGTTTTGGGCCAAAAACTGCGGAACACTCAGCACCTGTGGCCAGGGACGCTCGTAAATCGCCCATCATGAAATGGGCAAGTGGGTTGAAATAATCTCCCCAAAAAATGTCTCTGAAGCCGAACGCAGCCTCTCTCAACACTAGCTGGCACACTGATGCCAATGGGTTCCTAGAACACTTACCCAGTGGGAGAAGCCTGGACCCCGAAGGGCCCGTCCTCCAAAAAATAATTCTGGTTTTTTTGGAGGGTCCCCCTCATAGGCACAGGATATGTGAAGTTCACTGTTTTTAAATAACACCATTTTTTTTAAGTTTTAAAAATATTTCAGCCACCCAAGATTACAGTCAGGTCAACGGCTCTGGGCCTCCAGGTAAGAACTGGGAAGAAGAGTGGGATGAGATAGAGTGGCGTGATTCCAGGGAGATGCCGCCTTTGGTGAAGAGCTCAATTTCAGCCGGGCTCGG